CAACCAAGCACCTGTGTTCATTGGGAAGAGATATTTTGAAGGATATTATTGTGAAGTACTTAAGAGTTCCCTTCCACCTTAGCTACAGCTCTAAAGGTGACAGTGAACAGGCAGATCCTTTAGATATTCTACCTTTTGAAACCGTTAAAACTACAAATGAAATAGCATGAGTTTATAGTACGTAAGATTTTTTACTTAACCATTTCTTGATGTTGTTAAAACAACTACACTTTTCAACAATGACTGCAGCCGAGGGATTTTCTTCTTTGTCTTCCCCGATGCCAGGTTAATTTCATGTATATCTTTATCATCTAGAAGAAAAACAGCCTCTTTTTCCTGTTGAAAGAAAAAAAAGCATTTCATTTTTTAAAATGTTATTTTGTACGTAGCCTTCAAAACAATACAGAGATTTAAAAAAAAATTAAAAATTAAAAATTAATAATTATTTCTCCTAGTTATTTAAATAATTACAAATAATTATTAAATCTCTTACATCTGCAATTACCATATTAACTGCATTCTATGACCTACGGGCATTACAGTACAACATCACACCTAGCATCAACTCACACAGACTGTGAATTTGGCACACAGGTTTCACAACTCATATCAAACTGATGTGACAATCAATCAGCATCACAAATCTCTTCAAAGCACCTCAAACGAACTACCTGCCAGGAAATATCACAACAAATTAAACACTACTTCTCCTGTCTTAATTCCATTAGATTTTTGCCAGCTATTTCAATAGAAGAAATTTACTTTAAACCATTATCTACTTAAACTCAAAAAAATGTATAAGAAGGGAAAAAAGCACCAAATTTTCTCAAAAAAGCTTAAGTAAGCATGACTTACAACAGATGCAGGATGAAATGGGAAAAAAACCCCTGCCCATGGTTTCCACCAATGCACTGTAAAAAAAGGTTCTGAAAAACTAGAACCATCAAAACAACAATCTCAAAAAAGAGTCAGATGTTTTTGGAGGGGGAAAAAAAAAAAGGCTCCTCTTTGTTTATCTGAGAAAGTCTTAAATCTGCAGCCTCAAGTCTCTAAGACAGAAAAGCCATTTATTTTAATAACTCTTAAGCTGGGTACTTTCAAATTAACTTCCTGAGGCATTTTATACCCCCCATAAACAGACGTGCAAAGCATTGAAGAAGTTTAAAACCTACTCTTTGCAGAATGGTATTTAAATAAAAGTTCCTTACACTTACCTGTCCAACCCATGAGATGCGAGGCCATGGTTTTCTTTGCTTGATACAAGTAGAGATAAGAACCTCTAGCTTCACCTTCATTCTTATTAATCTTCTAGGTAACCATTATAAAGAAAAGTTAAAACCGGCTTTTCCACGTATCTGTAAAAGAATGTGAAGAAGTGGAAAAACAAAAGGAGACAAGAAGGTTTTGTTATTTGCGGGATGGGAGCAGAAGATGGGAATCCAGACACGAAGCCCTTAACCAGAGCATCTCGCTGCTGAACACAAACAGAACGGGCGTTCACCTGCATTTCCGAACGAAAACGCCCCTCTCATTCCCGCAGCGCCCCGGGCCCCGCAGCTCAGCCGCGGAGCTGAGAAAAAGGAGCCACAAGGCAACAGCGCATCGCTAAGGAAAACAGACCGCACCTCCTCGGCGCAGGAGACCGGGAGCTGCAGCCCAAACAAACACCCGCGGGCCCCGGGCGCGGCGGGGCGGGACGAGGCCCGGCGGGCAGGGACA